GGCTGCACTGGCTTCTGCTCTAGTGGCTTGGCTCTGCTTTTCCTCCCTGTGTGGATCCAGGCCTGCAATTAGAGACAAGACACATGCCAATCATTCAGTCACTCCGTGGGACAGGAACTGTTGCAATCCCAGCCAGTTCCCAGGTCTGGCCTCCCTCTCCTGAGCTCCTCTCTTGGACATTTACACTGCATTAGGAATGAGCCTCCCAGCCCAGGTCAGCAGTAGGGTTGCCAGGTGTCTTCCCCCGTCATATTCCTTAGTGGTGCGATCCTGCAAGGTGCTGAGCAGCATCAACTCCCTCCTCACTTCAAAAGGCAGGTAAAGGCCCCCGGCACCTCATCGGAGCGCTCTGCCCCTCACAGAATCTAGCCCTGCCCAGTTGCAGCCGATGAAGTGAGCTGTAGCTCATGAAAGCTTATGCTCAAATAAATTGGTTAGTCTCTAAGGTGCCACAAGTACTCCTTTTCTTTTTGTGAATACAGACTAACACGGCTGTTACTCGAAACCTGCCAGTATCATTAGTTACTGGGGGGGTGAATAGCCTGGAGAGGGAACGGCAGCACCGCGGGTGTACGGGGAGACTTTGGCAAACCAATGAAGTGCCTGAAACCACTATGGCTTATTGCTAAAAGCAGCGAAGTCAGCAGGCTGTAAATTGGCCATTCAGCACTCTCAGTTTGACGAAGGCAGGGGGTGGGGGAGTTTTGGGTGCCACAGAAAGGGCAGCTTGACCCCGTCCTTCCTGATAAGAATTGTGTTGAAGTGGCTGATACATGCATTTTTGAAGAGCAGGATATGCCCCAGGAATGTCTATTGGGGCCTCAAGGCTGCAAACTCTGGAAAAACCCACACCTGGTTAATCGATAATCAGAAGAAACCTCTTGCTTGACTATTGAAACTGCTTACTTAACAAGTTTTCTTTAAGGGACATGTCATTCTATTACTAATGTAGAAATAAGGGGGAAAAGTTTGAGGTAGTTGGACTTTTCTTTGGACTCTCCCTCTGGATACATCTTGCAGTCCCCACTGGCAGACGGAAGATATGGCCACCGGAAGCCTGCCGCTGTGCCACTCGAGAGCCACACTCAGCTTTGGTAATTATCAAGGGTTGGGGGTGTTTTACTAACCTTTTGCGGACGTGTGTTAGTGCTTGAGACTAAATAAAGTTTGGCTTTAAGTGAAAGCACTCTTGTGTTGTCCTCTTTGTGCCAGCCATCTATTGGTCGGACGGCCGTGTCTCCCCTGATTTGTTTCCTGACACCACCTCGCACAGAGTAAAAGTTACCAAGAGCTATGGATTGAAAGAACCCCGGGTAACAGAATTTGGAGGACCCAGCAAGGATGTGGTAGAGAGGAAGGAGACGGATGGTACAAACAGTTTGTAGTTTGTCCATTGCAATAGGAGGTAAAAGACGGGGGGTGGGGTCGCTCCCTACAAGTTCCCGTGTCGCAGTTCGCGAGTTAATTTACAGATACATTCCGTTACTGGGACTCAGAACTCAGGCTGATTGCCTGTTCGAGTTGAGAAATTATGTCCAGAGACAGGGAAACAACTGGAAAGAATGAACAGTTGAACATTATGTTGGGAAACAGCTTGACAGATTTTGTACAAGAGTATGGGGGTAATGGACCCTGGAAGCCTGGTGCCTTCACTGGCCCCGGAGCCTTCCTGCAGCTCCACAAGCAATGGGATATCTGGGTTAATGCAGGAAGGTGGCGAGGTCCGAATGGTAGGGCAAAGAAAAGGGCTGCTTTGCTGGGGTTGTGGATGGTTGCGACAACACTGGATCAGGAGATAGATTGGTTAAAAGACCAGGTGCAGGAACTGGAAAGAATCAGAGCGGAAAAGGAAGGTGAAGTAATTAATCTGAAGGCAGAATCTGATGCTCTCAGAGCTATGTCTCTGACGCAAGCAGCACAGATTGTAGGAACGCAGAAGCAGGTATGTGACCGTCCACCTTGCACAGAGTAAAAGTTACCAAGAGCTTTGGGTTGAAAGAACCCCGGGTAACATGGGAAGCGCTAATGCTGAGACACCTCGGGCTGAGAGCGGCAGCAAGCAAGGGGGGGGTCTTCAGGGAAACAACGCACAAGGAATTACCTCGACCGAAGTCCCTGTCTTCCGACTTCGTCTCAGCACCAGGTACTCAGCGTCCTCGTCCCTGGCAGAGGAGCGCTTCTCCGTGAACGCCAGGAGCGTGTCTGTGAGGATATACAGCAGTGCGGGGACCCGACAGGTGACCTCACTCTGCGGATCCTGGTGGAAGAGAGTCACCTTCCCAGAACTCATCGAAGCCTTGATCATGATGTCTCGACGTACCAGACACCTCAGCTGGGAGAGAAAAGGCATCAAGGGGGTTAAACCAATGCTAGCTCTGGAGCTTCTCTCAGCTGCAGAGCTGCACCCACCTGCTCAGACAGGAAACATTATTGGGCTCCTCAGACAGAACAAGCAATAAGCCTGAGCCACAGAGGTAGGAGTGCATTAATGGCCTGCTGCAGAGCTCAGCCATACATGGTTACAGCCCACCTCCAGCTATGCACAACTGTATTTCATTTTCCTTTTGCTGCTATTTCTTTGGCTCCCAACTCCCCAAAATGGACTTTGTTTCCTCCATGCTCTGACGCCGCCCAGAGTTTCCCTCACACTTCAAAGGGAGATGGGGCAGTTTAAGCCCCACCTTGAGGTTTTGTAGATAACGTCGGGAGAAATGTGATCACAACATTTTTAATTAAAGTGTCAATGAAAAACTTTGGCCTGTCTTTCAAACCATGCCACAAACAACAGCTCGGAGGGAGGGAGGACAGAGCCAGGAAGTGAAAGAAACAGAAAGAGAAACCCCAAGGGATCAACCTAGATTAGAAAAGGGACATTTCACCTTAGTTAAAAAAAGAACAAACGCTGGCCACAGCGAAATGTGGACGAAGGCAGGATGGCCCTGTGGTTAAGCCACAAGTCAGGAGATCTGGCTTCTTTCCCCATCCCTGCCATAGACTCACTGCATCAGGCAACCAGCTCAGAGATCAGTGCTGCAAGGGTGCAAGCTTAGCTCCTACTGATTTCAATGAGAGCAGGATCCAGTTCTGATCAGTGAGGGGGGGCTAGGACACTGAGTTAGGGCCAAATTCTGCTCAATTATGCCAAAGTAATTTCTGGCTCTGGGTTTACATGAGCGTGACAGAGATCAGAACCCGGCCCCCACTGCCTCCAAGTGACAAACAGGGGCCTTCCTCCAAGCCCAGACTTTCCCAGCACCAGCCCAGTGCAGTAATTTACCGTCAGCAGGTGCCTGCCCCGCTGGAGGTGATCTCTGCAGTGCTGTCTCCAATTCAGACCGGCTCTGGAGTCTCCCTCCTGGCCTGTCTTTCTGCTCTTTCCAACGGCGAAGGGGGTAAACTAGACCAAGGAGCCTAGAAACAGCAAGATAAGTGAAAGTAGAAGCTCTAACCCTGGCAGGAATTCAAGCCCTACTGAGCCGAGCTGGTCTGTCCCTCCTCTCCCGCAGACACTGCTTGGCCCAAGATTACTGCTAAAGAGACGTGCTACAGTGCCCCAACCCCAAAAAAGGCCTCCACACTGTCCCCAGTCATGGCGAGTCCCCCCAACAGACCTGGCCCCCGCGAGCCCTCATTGCACTGAGTCCCCCCCACCCAAATTGCACCGATTCGGACTTGGAGACAGGGTCCAAATATTCGCAGCCGCGCCGGCATGGAACATACCTGACGTCGGTGCAGGGCCATGGCCTGCGCAGTGTCACGGGCCAGCACAGTGGCCATTTTGGACCCCATGGGCATACCACTAGGCCCAGGGTGCCCAGTCCAAGGCCTCATGCTTAGTGGCGTCCGAGCCTAGGGTGCTGAAGGCAGCAGCCAGGCGCCCCACCCCTAAGGGTGCAGAGGATTCGGCGGTTGCACCACCTCCTCTGGAACCCAGCCCAGTTCCTGAGCCAGACCCTGGAGTGGCTGGCATGGAGCTAGAGGTGGGGCAGGAGGTCCCCGAGGACAAAGTGGGTCTGGCGGACCCAGTTCCTCCACCCTCTTTGTCCTTGGGGACCTCCTGCCCCACCTCTAGCTCCGTGCCAGCCACCTCTAGCTCCGGGCCAGCCACTCCAGGGTCTGGCTCAGGAACTGGGGTGGGTTCCAGATGAGGCGGTGGCAGGCACCTCCGTCTTGGGAACGCCCCCTATAGATAGCCGTGCCCACCAGGAACTCCTGCGCAGGGTGGCACGGAATATGAACCTGCAGGCTGAGGAGGTGATAGAGCTGAAGGACCCTATGGTGGACATCCTGGCATCAGAAGGACCATCTAGGGTCCCTCTACCCCTCATAAAAACTATACAAGCCAGTGCAAAGACCATTTGGAAGACCCCAGCCTCCATCCCTCCCACCGCTAAGGGTGTGGAGAGGAAGTACTTCGTGCCCTCCAAGGGGTTTGACTACCTGTTCACACACCCACAGCCTTGCTCGTTGGTAGTGTTGGCAGTAAAGGAGAGGGAGAGGAGAGGCAGGGTCAGCAAGCCCCAGCGCCTAAATCTAACGACGCCAAGTGCCTGGATTTATTCGAACACAAAGTTTACTCCATGGGAAGTTTGCAACTCAGGATTGCCAACCAACAGGCAATCCTGAGCAGGTACCTTTAACTCCTAGAACTCAATGCTGAAGTTTAGGGAGCTGGTACCAGCAGAGTCCAGGGAGGAATTTGGGGCAGTTGTCGAGGAGGGCAATGTTAGGTCAAGGAATAAAATATGGAAAGGCTGCAGGGAACTCCCCAACAAAAATATAGGCCCACAGTCCTTTACTGCGAGCTCCAGTATCTATCACCTGTTGGTAGCCAAGCTAGTCCTCCTTAGGTAACCTCCCTTCCCCTTCCTCTGCTGGAATGAGGCAAGTGGAATCAGGTGTATATAAACCAAACACATTGTGTTTATTTTGGGGAAACTGAGGAACATAAATGGGAACGGGAAAAATGCATAAAACAATAACAGAAACTTATTCTATTGGTACAGTAACTCAGAACATCTGTGGCCTGAAGCCAAGACCCAAACTAGACACCCGTGGAGTACAAAAGGTAAGTAAACATACAATGTCACCCTTCTGATGGTTGCTCAGGACTTCGATCCTTTGGCTTGTACAGAGCCTCAGGAGAGGAACTCTGAGGAGATCCCTTGATGACTCGTCCTTCTCACTGGCTCCAGATGACACGGCGGCAGGCTCACGAGATGACAGCTGGGTGTTCACAGGCGAATGACAACGGTGGACGTTAACTGCTGCAGATGGTAAGTAATAGCTGGAGATGGCACTTGTCCAGAGTTTTGATCACCTGTGGAAGCAAACCTGCGTGCACCTGCCACTCGGATGGGCAGCTCCGAACTGAGGTAACTGCCGCTCTTATATAGACTATATAGCACAAAATCCCTTAGGGCAGGGGTCTCAAACTCAATTTACTTTACGGCCAGTGCCAGTCCTCAAATCCTTCCAGCGGGCCAATAATGTCACTCATGTCACCCAGAACCTGCTCCCCAAAACTCTGCCCCCCAAAAAACTCCACTCCCCACCTGCCTAAGGCTCTGGGAGGGAGTTTGGGTAGGGGAGGAGGTCTGGGGTAGGGGATTGGGGTGCAGGCTCTGGGAGGGAGTTTGGGTGCAGAAGGAGTGAGAGGTTGGGCTCTGGGAGGGAGTTTGGGTGGGGGAGAGAGTCTGGGGTCCAGGCTCTGGGATGGAGTTTGGGTGCTGGGTGCAGGCTCTGGGCTGGGGCGTGCAGGAGGAGGGGGTGGGGTTGCAGACTCTGGGAGGGAGTTTGGGGGCTGGGGTGTGTGGGGAGGGTGTGAAGGCTCTGGGAGGGAGTTTGGGGGCAGGAGGGGGTGTGTGGGAAGGGGGTGCAGGCTCTGGGAGGGAGTTTGGGGGGGGGGTGTGTGGGGAGGGAGGGGGGTCCAGGCTCTGGGAGGGGGTTCAGGGGGTGCGGCGCTTACCTGGGGCTCCAAGGTGGGGCGGGCCGGGGGGCCTCTGTGCACTGCTGCCCCCAGGCACCGACCCCGCAGCTTCCCATGGGCCGCAGGGGCACTTGGGGTGGGGGCAGCGCACGGAGGCACAGCCCCACCCCACCGTGGGGCCGCAGGAAGGGGCCAGCAGACACGTGGAGCGAGCTGGCAGACGCCACTCAGCTCCGCTGCGCTGCCGGGACCCCGGGCCATTGTAAATCACCTGGGGTGTGTGTGGGGGGAGCACCCGGGGGTGGCAGGTGAGGCCAAGGGAGAGACCCGGCCCCAAAACTCCTGGAGTCCTGCGGGCCACACGGGGGAGGTTCGTGGGCCGCAGATGGCCCGTGGCCACGAGTTTGAGACCCCTGCATTGGGAAACCCCATAGAATCCGCGGGAAAATCCAGTTAAAACTGGAACTTGTTTACTACTTGGGCCACTGCTGACCGTTGGAAAGGGCGGGAAAACACTCCAACTGCACAACCCTCCTGATCACATGACCAAGTCCTCCATTTTAGATAACAAAATGGGTTTCATACAAACATCATAAATCATAATACCAATAACCTTACAAACACAGCTTTAGGAATTTGCCCCTAACAGCAAGGCAGTGCCATGGACCTCTTTACAGGCCACACTGGATGCTGCGGACTCAGCAGCCTGCACCTTGTCCTCAGGGATAGCTATGCGGCATACTTCCTGGCTGCAGGCCTCGGGGCTCTCGCCCAAGGTTCAGCAAACTATGCAAGACCTACCCTTTGCCGGGGTGGGTCTGTTTGCCGAGCAGACTGACTCCAGACGGCATAGACTCCAGGGTGACAATGAAATCTTTGGCTATGCACACACCCCGGCAACCCAACAAAAGCCCTTTAAGCCCCAACCGCCGCAACAGCACCCGTATCCTCCTCGGCCGAGGCAGGAATTCTACAGGTGCAAGGGTAGGAATGGCAGGTGTAAGCCTTCTCATCCCCCATCTGACAGGTCCAGGGTACGACTAAGCCTTCCTTGGGCTCAAAATAGATATTTCGAAGGTGCACATGAGGACGGAGCACCTGTGTCAACACCGGATCCTTCCCCGTGGTTTTTGAACCATCTATCCCACTTCTACCATGCGTAGTCCCAAATAACATCAGACTGCTGTGTTCTTCGCACGGTGGAAATGGGATGTTCTCTCCAATTCGGCTCCTACCGTCCCTGCCACCCCCCTTCGACAACCCTCTTCAGGGACTCTTCTCATGAACAACTCCTTATCCAGGAGGTGCAGGCGCCCCTTGCCATAGGAGCAGTGGAGGAGGTTCCTCAGGAGCTAAGGGGCAAGGGATTCTATTCCCGATACTTCCTAATCCGCAAAGCCAGTGGGGCGGGTGGGGGGCGGTGTCTCAGACCCATTCTAGACCTGCGAGGATTCAACAAGTTCATGGCAAAGTTGAAGTTCCACATGGTCTCCCTCAATACAATTATCCCTTCCCTGAATCCGGGAGATGAGTTCGCTGCCCTCGACATGAAAGACACGTACTTTCAGATAGCGATTCGCCCTGCTCACAGACGCTTCTTGAGGTTCGTGATCTACCGAAAACATTATCAGTTCATGGCTCTTCCCTGCGGCCTGTTGACAGCCCCATGAGTGTTCGCCAAGTGCATGTCAGTGGTAGCAGCCTTCCTCCGAAGGAGGCAGGTGCAGGTATACCCTTACCTAGATGACTGGCTACTCAGGGGGTGCACCAGGGAGCAGGTGGAGTCACAGGTCAGTCTGGTCACATCCATGTTTGAGAGACTCGGTCTCCTCCTCAACGTGAACATGTCAACCTTGTCACCGACCCACAGAATAGCATTTATCAGGGCAGTGTTGGACTCGGTCCAGGCAAGAGCATGTCTGCCTGAGTCCCAATTCCAAGCCATGTCATGCGTGATTCGATGCATGAGCGAGTACCCGACTATAACAGCGAGGAATTGCCTCAGTCTCCTTGGTCACATGGCCACCTGCACGTACGTGGTCCGGCATGCTAGGCTGGGGCTCAGGCATCTACAGACATGACTTGCTTCAACATGCTGCCTGGGGTGCAACAGCCTGGGCTTAGTGGTCACGGTACCACAGAAGGACCTAGAGTCACTCCAGTGGTGGCTCAATGCTCCGATGGTCTGCGGGGGAGTCCCCTTCAGCAGCCCTCAACTCTCCTTGTCTCTGGTGACGGACGCGTCAGCTCTAGGTTGGGGCTCACATCTGGGAGATTTCCGAATGCAGGACCTGTGGTCACAGAACAAGCTCTCTCTCCATATCAATATCAAGGAGCTGAGAGCTGTGCATCTCGCATGCCAGGCCTTTCAGCCTCAACTGCAAGGCCAATATGTGGCAGTCACGACGGACAACACCACTGCAATGTTTTACATCAACAAGCAGGGTGGAACGCGGTCCTTGTCCCTCTGTCAGGAGGCCCTCAGACTGTGGGAATTCTGTATAGTCCACTCCATTCACCTGGAAGCATCATATCTGCCAGGAGTCCAGAACGTACTGGCGGACCACCTCAGCAGGTCCTTTCACAGCCACAAGTGGTCCATCTGGCCGGACGTCATTCACTCCATTTTCCAGAGGTGGGGGTTTCCTGTTCGCCGCTCGGAGCAACAGGAAGTGTCCAACATTCTTCTCCTTCCAGAAAAGCAGCCCGGGCTCAATCGCGGACACATTCCCGCTACCCTAGGGAGGCTGTCTCCTCTGTGCCTTTCCCCCGATCCCTCTCGTGCACAAGGTCCTGCTCAAGGTCTGCAGAGACGGGGCAGAAATGATTCTGGGGGTACCAGTATGGCCTTGACAACACTGGTACACCAAGCTTCTGGATCTGTCGGTTGATGCCATGGTCATGTTGCCGCTCCTCCCCGACGTTACCACTCAGGACCACGGTCAGCTTCATCGCCCAGACCTACGGCCCCTCCATCTCACGGCCTGGAAGCTTCATGGCTGAAACTCATGAACTTCTGTGCTCACAGCAGGTAAGGGAGGTCTTACTCAGCAGCAGAAAGCCCTCCAGGAGGGCCACATATCTGGCAAAGTGGAAGAGGTTCACTTGCTGGTGGGACCAGCTTCATACACCCCCACTTCAGGCACTGTTACCTCTTATTCTGGAGTACCTTCTGCACCTGAAACAGCAAAGCCTGGCAGTATCCATAAAGGTACACCGAGTGGCTATCTCAGCTTTCCACCCCAGAATCACTGGGCGCTCTGTCTTCACCAGCCCCATAGTGGGACAGTTCCTCAAGGGTCTGGAATGGCTACATCCTCAGATTAGACAGCCTGTCCCTGCATGGGACCTTAATTTGGTCCTCTCCAAGTTAATGGGGCCCCCATTCGAACCGCTGATGACTTGCTCCCTTCTCTACCTCTCATGGAAGGTATCCTTCCTAATTGCCGTCACATCGGCAAGAAGAGTGTCTGAGTTAAAGGCTCTTACCTCCGACCCACCTCATACAGTTTTCCACAAAGACATGGTGCAGCTCAGACCTCACCCTGCTTTCCTGCCTAAGGTGGTCTCTCATTTCCATACCAGCCAAGACATATTCCTGTCTGTCTTTTATCCAAAGTCGAATGCCGGTAGCCGTGAGCAGGGATTGCACTCCTTGGATGTTCAGCTAGCATTATCCTTCTATTTTGAATGCACTAAGCCATTCAGGAAATCAAACCGGTTGTTCATAGCGGTGGCTGACTGCATGAAAGAACTCCCGGTCTCATCTCAAAGAATATTGTCCTGGATCACGTCCTACATCTGCATGTGCTATGAGCTGGCCAAGACACCAGTCCCGGCAGTTACAACACACTCCATTAAGGGCACAGGCCTCATCGGTGGCATTCCTGGCCCAGGTCCCGAACCAAGAAATCTGCAGGGCAGTGAGTTGGTCCTCAGTGTATTTGTTCACCTCTCATTATGCCATCGTCCAGCAAGTCAGAGATGATGCAGCTTTCAACAGAGCGAATTCAATCCGGAATTCCATAACTCCACCCCACCACCTAGGTAAGGCTCGGGAGTCACCTAATTAGAATTGATATGAGCAATCACTCGAAGAAGAAAAACGGTTACTCACCTCTAATAACTTGTTCTTCGAGATGTGTTGCTCATGTCCATTCCAAACCCACCCCCCTTGCCCTCTGTTGGAGTAACCACAAGAAGGAACCAAGGAGGGGCCGGGTCATCAGGGTCATATATTGAGTGCCGTGGAGGCGCCACTCCAGGGGGCTCCGCAGCCAACTTGACGGGTGCTGCTAGGAGAAAAACTCTCCGACAGCTGTGCACACGGCGCACACACAGCTGATTGGAATGGATATGAGCAACACATCTTGAAGAACAACACTTACAAGAAGGTGAGTAACTGTTTTTCCCCTCTGTTCGGCACGGGTGAGGCCACATCTGGAGTACTGCGTCCAGTTTTGGGACTACAGAAAGGATGTGGAAAAATTGGAGAGAGTCCAGCGGAGGGCAACGAAAATGATTAGGGGGCTGGGGCACATGACTTATGAAGAGAGGCTGAGGGAACTGGGGTTATTTAGTGTGCAGAAGAGAAGAGGGAGGGGGGATTTGATAGTAGCCTTCAACTACCTGAAGGAGGGTTCCAAAGAGGATGGAGCTCGGCTGTTCTCAGTGGTGGCAGATGACAGGACAAGGAGCAATGGTCTCAAGTTGCAGTGGGGGAGGTCTAGGTTGGATATTAGGAAAAACTTTTTCAGTAGGAGGGTGGTGAAGCACTGGAATGGGTTACCTAGGGAGGTTGTGGAATCTCCTTCCTTTGAGGTTTTTACGGTCAGGCTTGACAAAGCCCTGGCTGGGATGATTTAGTTGATGTTGGTCCTGCTTTGGGCAGGGGGTTGGACTAGATGACCTCCTGAGGTCTCTTCCAACCCTAATCTTCTATGATTCCTTCTGTAACACAGCCCAGCTGTCCTCTGGCTGCTTTGGCTGCTTTTCACCCTTTTTAAAGAGGCTTGCATGAATTCAGGTTGCCAAGCCTCCAGGATTGGCCTGGAGTCTCCAGGAATTAAAGATTAATCTTTAATAAAAGATTATATCATGTGATGAAATCTCCAGGAATACATCCAACCAAAACTGGCAACCCTAATTCAGGGCCTGACTCCGGGTAGGAGCCCTGGTTTATCCACAGAACTAGGAATGGGCAGTGACAGTTCAGGGCTTCTCCTATTCACAACATGCCTAACCGAGGGCCAGAAGCTCATACAGAACCTGCCTCGATGGAAAGGTTATTAATCTGGATAAAACTAAGTCTCTGGCTCTTACCACCAAGCCATCTCCAGCCCCACATTACAAACAGCTCCCTATTAATCTGTCCAGATGGGACATCGAGCAGGTGGCAAGGGTCGAATACTTGGGCAGTGTTACAGCGCTGGAGGATGCTCAAAAGATGTGGGCGCTTGTATAGCAGCAGCAGTTGCCACATTGTGGGCATGACATCAGACTTGCCACGGAGCCGTGGATCGATGGAAACATGGTCATAGCAACTCTATTGCAGGGCAGTGAAACATGGGTGCTGAGGAAGGCTGAAGAACATTGGATTTGTGTTTTGGAGCCTTTCTCAGTTGCTCCATATTAAGTGGCAGGATAAGACCAGAAATGGGATGCCTGAAGCCGAACCCAGCAGCTGCCTCCCACCTGCACTGGTTCAGTTTTGGAGGCTGTCTCGGTACAGACATATTGTCATGAAAATCAGAAAATTCTACGTGCCTGTGCCCAGGAATGCCGCTACCCAGCCAGCCATCATGTGGGCACCAAAAGCTGCGATGGCACAATAAGATTGCCAGTGGGGCACATAAACTGAATATCCAGCCAGACCACCTTAAGGACCTATCTAAGAGGTTGGTCTGCAAGAAGACCATGTCCCTTTGGGATTTCATAGAATCATAGAAATGTAGGCCTGGAAGAGACCTCGAGAAGTTGTCAAGTCCAGTCACCTGTGCTATACAGGACCAAGTAAACCTAGACCATCCCTGACAGGTGTTTGTCCAACTGGTTTTTAAAAGCTTCCAATGATGGGGACTCCATGCCCTGCTTTGGAAGCCTATTCCAGAGCTCAACTATCCTTATAGATAGGAAGTTTTTCCTAACATCTCATTTAAAATCTTCCTTGCTGCAGATTAAGCCTGTTAATTGTCCTACCTTCAGTGGACATGGAGAACAATTTGATCACTGTCCTTTTTATAAAAGCCCTCAAAGTATTGGAAGACCGTTATTAGGTCCCCCTCAGTCTTCTTTTTTGAAGACTAAACATACCTTGTTTTTTCAACCTTTTGTCACAGATCAGGGTTTCTAAGGCTTTTAACATTTTTGTTGCTCTCCTCTGGACTCTTTCCAATTTGTCCACAGCCTTCCTAAATTGTGGTGCCCAGAACTGGACACAGTACTCCAGCTGGGGCCTCACCAATGTCAAGTAGAACAGGACAATTACCTCCTGTGTCTTACATACAACACTCCTGTTAAAACACCCCAGAATCAGATCAGCCTTTTTGCAGCTGCATCACATGGACAACTCATTTCAGTTTATGGTCTACTATAACCCCCACATCCTTTTCAGCAGTCCTGCCACCAAGACCGTTATTTCCAACTTTGTAGTTGGGCATTTGCTTTTTCCTTCCTAAGTGAAGTACTTTGCACTTTTCTTTATTGAATTGCAACTGGCTGAATTCAGACCAATTCTTCAATTTGTCAAAGACATTTTGAATTTAAATGTGCCCTCCAAAGTGCTTGCAACACCCTCCCAGCATGGTGTCATCTGAAAATTTTATAAGCACATTCTCTGTTCCATTCATGGGGGACAGGTAGAATAGGACAAGCCAAGCCACGGCCCTGCGCACCCTACACCCTCTCCTCCAAGCCGGCAGCAGCTTAGCTCCAGCCAGAGGCCAGCAGGTGACTGGGGCTGGCCGGTGACCCAGTTCTGGGGCCAGTGCGCAACCCAATGATAGGGTGGCAGCCGGGTGCTGGGGCCAGCGTTGAGGTCAGCTGGCGGCCTGGGGCTGCTCGGCTGGGGCTCCTTCGGATGTGGGGAGGGGGTGGGCCTCATTGGGTTTGGGGGGGCCCTTGGGGCTCCAGCAGGCAGTAGGGGGGACTTGGGCAGAAGGGACGGAGTTGCATAGCTAGCGTCCCCGAAGGGGGGGCTCACGTGCTGCCCATAAATCCATTATGCAAGACATTAATGAAAATATTGAATAGTACCGGATCCAGGACTGACCCCTGTGGGAACCCACTAGATACACCCTCCCAAACTGACAGCAAACCATTGATAACTACTCTTTGAGTAGTGTCCCTACCTTATAGTAATTTCCTCTAGACCACATTTCCCTACTTTGCTTACGAGAATATCATGCAGCACTGTGTCAAAAGCCTTACTAAACCAAGGTATATCACATCTATTGCTTCCTCCCATCCACTGGACAGTAACCCTGTCAAAGAAAGAAATTAGGCTGGTTTGGTCTGATCTGCTCTTGACAAATCCATGCTGGCTATTCACCCTGTTATCCTCCAGGTGCTTACAAACTGATTGTTTAGTAATTTGCTCCTGTATCTTTCCAGGAATTGAAGTTAGGCTGACTGTCTATAATTCCCCAGGGCCTTCTTGTTCCCCTTTTTAAAGTTAAGTACTATATTTGCCCTTCTCCAGTCTTCTAGGATCTCTCCTGTCTTCCAGGAATTCTCAAAGATAATTGCTAATGGCTCTCAGATTGCTTCAGCTAGTTTCTTAACTCTAGCATGAATTTTATCAGGCCGTGCCAACTTGAATACATCCAAGTTATCTAAATAGTCTTTAACCTGTTCTTTTCCTATTTTGACTTGCCTTCCTTTCCCCCTGGTTGTTAATATGAATTGTGCTGAGTATCTGGTCATCATTAATCTTTTTAGTGAAGACTGAAGCAAAATAGGCATTAAACACCTCAGCCTTCTTGATGTCATCAGTTATTAGCTGTCCTCCTCCCCTAAGTAGAAGACCTATCTATCTTTCTCCTAATGTATTTAAAGAACCTCTTCTTCTTGTCTTTTACATCCCTTGCTAGGTGTAACTCATTTTGTGCCTTAGCCTTTCTGTGCTGCTTTTTTGTACTCCTCCTTAGAAGTTTGGCCTCCCACCTTGTTGAGTTTCAGAGCCTGGGCTCCAGCCCGAGCGGGAATGTCTACACTGCTATTTTTAGACCTGCAGCTAAAGCCCCGTGATCCTGAGTCAGTTGACCTGGGCTTGGAGACTCAGAGCCCCAGGGTTTTCTCTGCAGTGTAGACATATGCTCATCAGCCTGCTACTTCCTTAGGTGATTGACAAGCCTAGGCGGCTGATGACCTGCAGAGAACAGTGTGGCACTGCCAGGCTAATGCTGGCTTGGCTGGAGCTATCACAATGATGGTAAACTGAGTCAGTGGTGGGTGAATTGCAACCATGCTAAGCCTGAATGGAGCAAGGTCACTGGGACCCAACAGCAGGAGGGGTAAGGGAAGAGCATTTGTCACTATGTGCTTGGTTTCCAGGGACCGCGCTTAGACAGGGAGCCCCATAACAAGGTCTGAAGTTTGACTTTATATCCCTCTCCGGTGATTCCTATCCCCGTAAAACCCCTTCTGGAAGGAACCAGCTGCAGTAAACAGACCTACAGCTGGAGGCTAGGCTGTATGAATTGATTTCTCAACTTCATTATTCTGTCCAAAACAGATGGATGTGGTTTCCTGAGAGGTTCCGGAGACACAGAGCCCTCCAACGTACAAGGTATTTAGACGAATGTTGTCACGTTCATGCTCTTCCTCTAGCTGAGCTGCACCTGGCAAGACGGCACAGTGGGTGTGGGAATGGCTGCTCTCAGGAGTTCCTCACCATCCTCCAATTCTCATTCAATTCAGAGAGCACCCTGAGCAAACACAGCTGCTTCTCATCTACTTCCTCCCCTCAAAAAAATAAGAAGTCAGGGTGGGAGGTTTCAAGAGCACTCAGGCTTGGCCAATCACAGCTCTCATTGAAGGAGGCTGCCATTACTTTGGCCAAGGCCCAGTGCTTGTGAAAATTCCTCCCTTCATGACACTGGTCCCCATAGCAGCCCCCTGCACTGCTAACCTCTCTTCACTCCCCAGAACAGGAACAAGCTGTTCTCCACTACTTCCAGCACATTCCATTGCTTCCCCTTTTATGTATTATTCAACAAAGACGGTGACAAAATTTGTAAATTTTTGCTGTTTTTTGTACAGTGTCTACCACTGTGCACTTCTGATCCTTGACTGGGACCCTGGAGGCAATGCAAATAAGCACAATACAAACAGGTCATGTAATCTCACTTTTTAACATGAAGAAAGCGAAGTTCCTTCCAACCAAATGACATCACAGCGAGGACAACTCGTTTTGAAAGACAAGATGGGCTGTCTTGGCCCATTGCTGTTCTTTAAAGGGTGACAACTTAATTGTTTTGAAATTGAATTTTTTTTTTTTCAAATCATTGAGAGACGAAGAGTACTTTTACTCTCCTGCTGATGGTTAAAGGTGTTTTCAGTTGGGCAGTTTCTCCCTTGAAGTCTCCAAGAAACAGTGAAATGGACTCCCAAGAAAGTGCTGTCAAATGCACAAACTGAAGGGAGTCAAAGGCCCAGATCCACAAAGGGACTGGGACATCCCCAGACCTTGGCTTGGATGCCTAGGCTATGCATGGGGAGAGTTTCGGCCCTGAGAATGAGACCCACAAAAGCCAGCACCCTAGGTGGGTTGTCTTCTAAACTAACCAATAGTGGACACTGATGAGAGGGGTGTGTCCTAAGTCTCACCCCTCTCAAGAGTTAGGAACCTATGTCCGAGATGGATGGAGGTACCTAGCTGTGCTTGTGATTCACAGATGGAAACCCCTCTTCTGGATGCAGGTGCCTAAGCAGTTTCTCGCAAGAACAGCAGTGGTGCACTTAACTCCACACAAAATGGCAAAGGAAGGGCTATAAGCACATAAATTCCTTTGGGGATCTGGGTCTAACTCTTCAGTGTTAGTGATCTCAGGTATGTATGTAACGTGGTAGTGGGTACCATGGTTTTCTAGACAGGAATGTGATTTTAAGACAACTGGGCTCCGGTAATCTCTCCCCCATGAAGACCGCAACACCGTTTTCACATCTGTTCTTTCCTTTTATTGAAAAAAAAAATCATTTAGAAAAATGACAGTTTATATCAGGGACACAACTGAACAGAATCTCAATACGAAATATGCCAGTTGGACAAACATGAAGGACATTTACAGCTCTAAAAATGCCATTGCTTTTTTCACCTTGTCAATAAATTTCGTGCTCTAACATACAGAAGTAGCATATTTGCAGTCTCGATATTTTTCTCTTCCAACAGATAAAAGGATTTGATATAAAAATCGATCCCACCCACCCACTCCCCAATCAGATAAATATAAAAATAAAGAAAACACTTGTTTGTGAATGGACAGAGTTGTTTTACATGAAGGTTTTGTCCTGAATTCCTAACATAAAGATTCACTAAGAAAAAGATAAAATGAAGTCAGCAAAATGTGAATGCTAAAATCCCCCAAACACTGCATGGCACAGAGCTACATACTATAAAGCACTGCCAGGTAAAAAGGAGGAAGTCAATACAGCATTGAGCAAAAACCTCCCTCCTAAAGGTCTTTGATAGGTCAAATGTCATCCAACATCATCTCAAAAGTGACAGAGCAACCTGAAAGGCAGGTTAAACACTGCAACCACACAGGTCAAGACCGTCTGTAGCTTTAATCTGACTGCATTAGCTTCAAGATTTCGGATCCAAGTTTAAAAATCCTGCTTTATCCAGAATTAAATAGGATTTCAGGACAAAAACAGAGGCAAGTAACATTCTTTGCTATTTCACTTTATTTATTAGTATTAATTTAGCATGATCCACGCAGGAAGATGGCCCTTGGAATCATTATTTTGTTTTTCTTTCCGTGGCCAAACTGTCATGAAGCTTGGAGATTTCCGGTTCGTAGGCCTCCATGACTAATGTTCCATTGTTATCAAAGAATTTAGCAATAGATTTGGTGAACTCTGCTTCTCTCGGCTGTTTGGTTTTCCCGCTGATGAAAGTCAATTTCAGGGTGTATTTGTCATCAAACCTTGAAGGGACACAGAAAGAGAACGTGAGTCACAGTTTAGAGAGGGGGCTACTCAGATTTGGCACAGCTGTGTGGCTACATTGGGCTGAGAGCCTAGTAGCCAAAAGAACACCCCGAATTTGAACAAGTGACACATGCTGCAGCAATCCCACATCTTCACCACAGGTCTACGGTCCAGGTCCCAGCATGCAATGCTCCACCGTCTATGCCCAAAGATGCTGCAACATGCAGTATCAGTAAATAACTCGATATTAAAGGATTTTTTTACTGCTCTTTTTGGGGTTAGCACTTTCTTAAATTAACATTAGAGTTAAAATAACTAGTAAAATTCAAACTTCTCCATGGCTGTTGATTGCTCTGACCTTACTGCTATTTTAATTCTAACAGGGTGAAACTGATGTAGATGTTTATGGGCAAGCTCATGAATTGTAACCCTGCTTTTTGGTAAGCATCAATATGCATTTAAGAGGCAGTTTTGCTTGAAGTTATCTTGTTTTTTGTTTCCTTCAGACAGAGGAGTCCTGGATTTGCAGGAGAGATTCTCGTCTCCCCAAGCGACTAGCACTAACCTCATTTCTTTTTCTGTTAAGGTGCTCAAATGACATAGCGATAATAAAAACCTAGGCAGAAAGGCCCATCCATTCCTGAGTCTGCAAACAGACAAAATGAAGTGCTTTCTTCACATGTCAGTAAAGATCAGTCTCTCCGTGTCACAGTGGACCTGACTTCCTGAAAATGACAGTTTCCATGCCGTGAGATCAGTTCAACAGCCATGGAAGATTTCCACCGTGTGTGTGTTAATATGTATCTATATGATCTTTTAAGGAAAACTGTGTTTTTAAGTCAAAGATGAGGTTAATTGGGCCACATTTTAGAAGCCACACTTTGGGGTAATGCCTCCCTGTTTTAAATGACATGAACCAATTCCATGTAAGCAATTCCTCTGCCCTTAAAAGCAAACTAACATTACTCCTGCTCCCTCCCCCACCTACTTCCTTCCTGCTCTGCTTTCATTGTTTCAGTTAATAAAATGCTTGTGTCTCCAAAAGTCTGACTGTTTTACACTTTAATTAAAATATATTTTACAGGCCAGAAATAGAAAGCACAATTAAATCACAAACAGGGAGGCAACCAGCTATTCATATAGGGAGAGATGTGTGTCCCATCTCTTCTGGTGTCATATCTTACAGCAACCAGTACCAGATGTTTTAAAGATACAGGATTCCTTCCTAACCCATCAGTCAGTGATTGGTTTATGCCGGAAGCATGAGGGTTTGTAACCCTTATTCTTTTAACCTATCTAAGCTAACACTCTCCCCATTTAAAAAGTTTCTTTTTTGAATCATGCTAAACTCTGGGGACTCCAATATCTTGTGGCATCAAGTTATATATATTAGTTATAATAGGGGACAGAAAATTGAATACTGCATAAAAATTTTAGCCATCTCAAAACTAGAAATCATGATAGGAGCTCAAATAAAAGCAACTAAATGTCCATTCATGCAAACAGAGTTAATGGGTCTACTTTTCTAAGGGCTGAAGGATCAGGCCTAAGCGACGAAAGGACAGAAGGAGTTGACTTAAAGAGAAAAGAGACTTAACTTGGCTAAGTAATGACTAAAAGGGGATGTAACACCTGACAAATACAGACGCAAAAAGGGTGCAATATAGAGATCCTGCTTCTCAACCTTTTTGGGCTCAGGACCCATTTGCAAATGTTTATGGCCTGTTGCGACCCAGTAAATAGTCTGGAGGTGGAGGCCCGGGGGTGGTTTTGGTTGGGTCCTGCCCAGCACTCACCCCACAGTGGCAAATCCAGTGCTGTGAGGCTGGCTGGGCGTGGCTCTCCGCTTCGGGCATTGCAACCTCCAGGGTTGCAGCACCACTCAGGTTTGGCCCCACCCCCATGACTGGACCAAATTTGTTTGCGGGGAGTTGTGACCTGGTTCTTGGGGTTGCAGTGCCACTGACTCAAATCTGGCCTTCAGAGCTGGGCGGCTGAACAGTGGCGACTGCTGGCCAGGCATCCAGCTCTGAAGGTAGCGCTGCGGTCAGCAGCAGTGCAGAAGTAAGGGTGGCAATACCATGCCCGCTATAGGGCTCTACCAACGGGTTGAGAAACCCTGATACAGAGAGCAGAAAACATGTGGGGTGATTCCACGTGGGTATTAACGGCAATAGAGCACAGGAAGAAAGACAGGCTCTAAGGAAGCGGGTCTCAGGTCATTCAGGGCTTTTGATAGAACCAACACTTTGAATATTGCCCAGAAGCCAACTGAGAGGCAATGCAGTACATGACACAGATGTAATATAGAACCCTTTGTATAAGGCTTATGCCACAGTGCTGCAAATAAACACAGACACCAGCCATTTGGCTCCTGCGCTGCTCTGAGTAAATCTGTACAGAGAAAGATGACAGAACTAACAGGAAGCGGAAATGACATTCCTGCCCCACAGTAACTAGTAAGTAGGCAAATCCCAGGCCTCAGCAGGGCGTGGATGTTCTGTCATTATGGTCCTTTGGTAAATGTGGTTCTAGAAGCAAAAATACCTTTTTAGACTGGAGGAAAGTTGCCAGATGTCATCAGGGTCCATCCCTGCAGGATCTTTTCGATGTGCTACCAGGAAAATGCTCTTCTCCTTGTATGAGGTATAGATGGTCAGGATTCCCATCATCACAAAATAAGTTCGGGAAAGTTAAAGAAATTAAGGGAATACGAGAGCCATGCAACAGTAACAAGTAGGACATGTGAACAATGGAATGCATACAAGTAAATGATTCATCTCCACACAGTGGCTGGGGATTTAATTGCTTCTGACAAGATCATTTAGAGCTTGGTTTTTGGTTGACATTTTTATTAGTATGAACAAGTTAAATGCAAATATAATGTGTCAATCTCTAGCTCTTAGAAATCTTCCCACTACCACAAGACCACAGATCAATGCCTGAAGTAACATGAATGGTGGGCAAAAGTTTATCAGAACCTCTCTTGAACGAGACTTACCAAGGAGTCAGACAGAAAAATCAAAAGATTAAAAGACAATTAAGCGTGAATAGAAAAGAATAAATGGTGTTTTCAGTTACTTGACTGAAATTTCACTGGCTACATCTAAAGGAGGCCTCATGAAAGCCTGAGGTAGAATAAGCAGTGGAAATAATCTGTGTGTCTAGGGTCACACAGCAGGTCAGTGGAATAGTAGGGGTTAGAAGCCCAAAGCTCCTGACTCTCAGCTTTGTGCTCAATTTACCAGCTCACACTGCCCCCCTGAGACTATCTGCACAATTCAGAGAGATTGCTGTATATACAGAGAAATGTTGCACCCTTTAGCCATCACTCTGGACATGGTTAGTGCAGACAATTCAGGAGACTAACTCCTATAGCCAAACAGCAGAAACAAAGTCAGTATTCAGAATGGCAGAGAACATTGCTGAAAAAAACCTGAATGATAAAAGTTACTCAATACTTCACATTTACTAACTGTTCTCTAAATGTAACTTACATTTATACTGCTGTCCTCTTCCCAATTTTTATGTACCTGTTATTCCTTGATGGCAGCCTCAGACAATTGCTCTTGCTTGCCATTTCACTCCCAGCACCTGATCTGTAGTATCACAGGAAGCAGCTGGTGCTATAGGAGTCCCTTTGCAGAAATACAAGTTTCTTCCACTAAAATAATGTGGAAGAGGACTTGGATGTTAAAATAAAATACTAAAATAGAAACCTGGCAAGCCCCACTGCCTGTGAAATTCAGACAGGACCTACCAGTTTTACTTCTATGTCTTCTAAAAGGGGGAAAGACAATTATGGATTTAAAAAAAATTTTTTTTACTTGTTGGGGAAAGACAGACACCTTAAACCTGCAGCACATATGAAAGGATATGATACCACGCAGAAAGCGAGAACAGGTTTAGATTCAGGAAAGGGATGCAGATAATCCCAAATCAAAGCCACGACGGCAAAGAGACAGGAGACTGTGCAGATGATGAGGCGACCATCAATCAAACAGAAATTCTCCACATACTTGTACTTTTCCAGGAGAACCTGATGGGAAAGCAAAGAGCCCAGTTTATTGTATACTTGGCTACTTTTACAGATGGCTTCCAAAGAAGAGTTAAATTAATTCTCTATAGATGCACTAATTTTAACTGCATAATCCAGATGATTTTAATTAAAGCATCCGAAAGGGAAAAACCAATTCAACTCCAGGAGCATCAAAGAAACAGCAATAAATGTGGTGAGAGTGCTGCAATTTTAGATATATTTTATATCTAATTTAAATAGTCTTTAAATGTACATAAGTTCTTTAAACTTTTCCTAACACGAGTAAAAGCCATTTTAAGGCTAACTAGCCAATTTTATTAATGGAAAATGACATGGTAATTGAGTTGGAAACATCTAAGAAAGCAAGTGATTTCTGAGTCGTTCACAGCTCTAGGAGGAGACACTCAATAGGAGTCTGATCCTGGAAACGTCTGCACGCAGATGTGTCACTGGCTTTCATGAGAGTTCTGTACAGAGCGAGGCTCCAACGTGGAATCCGTGAAGGGACTCAAGTGTTGCAACACTGAGGGCACCTAGAAAAATCACAGAAGCAACAGTGCAACACCCCCCCTTTCCCCTCCCCCAAACCGGGTTAGGCACCTAGGCTCCCTATACGATGAACAGGGAGAGACAGGCGCCTAAGAAAGCACTCCACCAAAGCCAGCCTGCTAGGTGCGGAGCACCTAAATCAGCCTATGGGAGATGCTGACTGGGGTGGGGTGGGGGTGTTAAGCCCTGCTCCTCTCACAGACACAGGCGCCTAAGTTTGGGCTCCAGGGAGGCGCCCAGCTCTGCTTGTGATTCATGAACCAGGAGACGATAGGCCTAAATTGTGTGCAGAGCCTAAAACAAAATGGCCGAGGGGAGGGCGAGAACCTCCCATACAACTCATTAGCCTAGTGGCTAGGGTACTCCCCCAGGATAGAGACTCCTGGATCACGTCATTCCTCCTCCTGATCTGCCACCTCTCTGTTGAGTGCCATTAACTACTAGGCTACACAGGCATTCTAATTTGGTCACTGGCCCAATTAGCACTGAAGTATTCCATTGCTGAATTCAAGTGGAACAACTTCAGAAGGAGACATTGAGGAAATCACAACAGAATATCCCATAGCCTGGTAGCTAGGGCACTCACCTGAGAGGTGGTTGCTCCCTGTTCAAATCCCTTCTCCTGCTGGGAGGGGAAGGGGGGGAATAGGGGACTTGAACTAGGGGTCCCCCACATCCTGGGTGTGTACCCTATCATAGAAAATCAGGGTTGGAAGGGACCTCAGGAGGTCATCTAGCCCAACCCCCTGCTCAAAGCAGGATCAATCCCCCAACTAAATCATCCCAGCCAGGGCTTTGTCAAGCCTGACCGTAAAAACCTCAAAGGAAGGAGATTCCACCACCTCCCTAGGTAACCCATTCCAGTGCTTCACCACCCTCCTACTGAAAAAGTTTTTCCTAATATCCCAACCTAAACTTCCCCCACTGCAACTTGAGACCATTACTCCTCGTTCTGTCATCTGGTGCCACTGAGAACATCCTCTTTGGAACCCCCTTTCAGGTGAATACTGGGTACAGATGTAGTGCACTCATCTTCAAAAAGATATACTGGCATTAGAAAAGGTTCAGAAAAGGGCAACGAAAATGATTAGGGGTTTGGAACAGGTCTCATATGAGGAGAGAATAAAGACAACTTTTCAGCTTGGAAAAGAGGAGACAAACAGGGGATATGATAGAGGTATATAAAATCATGAGTGGTGGAGAAAGTGAATAAGGAAAAGTTATTTAGTTGTTCCCATAATACAAGAACTAGGGGCCACCAAATGAAATTAATGGGCAGTAGGTTTAAAACAAATAAAAGGAAGTTCTTCTTCACACACTGCAGTGTCAACCTGTGGAACTCCTCCTGTCAGAGGGTGGAGATGGATGGCAGGAGAGAGATCACTTGAT